CCGTCGTCCCGTCGCGCCTTGAGTTGCTTGCACGCAGCGCAGCCACGCACACAGCCGGCCTGGCGATGCACCTCTCGAAACTTTACACCCGAAACTAAACGAGACTTCATCATCTTTCGCCAGCCTTCCCCTCCTCCTGCCTCCTCGCTTCCAAGCGACACCCGAAGCGGCAGCGAGCGGCAACAGCCACCACCACCACCTGGGCAGCTCAGCGACCCCTTGGCGTCCACTCCACTGAAGCGGGCCAAAAGGAGGAAAGCAAGCGGGCACGCGAAGGAGAAGCCATGGCGAGCGACGGCGACGGGAAGGGCCGCGTCGCGACGGCGCCGGGGGGAGGGTATGGGTACGGGTACGGCGGCTACGAGGGGCCGGAGGACCGGAAGTGGTGGCCATGGCTCGTGCCCACCGTGATCGTCGCCTGCATCGCCGTGTTCGTCGTCGAGATGTACGAGAACAACTGCCCCAAGCACGGGAGCCAGCTCGGCGGCTGCGTCGCCGGGTTCCTCCGCCGGTTCTCCTTCCAGCCGCTCCGCGAGAACCCGCTGCTCGGGCCGTCATCCTCCACGTACGTTGTCGCTGCACAAGCTTTCGTTTTGTTGACCTGTGCTGCCGTGCGTACACCAAGTGAAGTAGGACCCCAATTAGAGTGATTTGGGTGCGCTTCAGGTGGAATTGGGTGGGGGGAGATGGATTTATTTCGCGTTTGGGATCTTGCGGTTCGGTAGGGATGGTACCAGTAGCGGAAACTTGAGAACTTACCATCTTTGCAGCTAGTTTCTGAGCAAAATTTGGATTTTGTTTGGGTAGTTCCGAGGGTTTAAAGCTCACGCTTTGTGGTAAAAGAAGGCAATTTTGTTGGGGTGGTTTTAGTGGGAGGAAACCTTTGGCCATTTCTGTTGCCGTTCGAAGATTGTGGTCTGGAAGGATTGTAGACGACTAAGATCTTTTGCTTATAAAGTCTAAAGCTTGAATTGCCTTATTCCTTGAGTTTAGTCCTTTTCACCTTTTAATGGTTTAGAAGTCCACGAGGCAGGGTAGTTTTCGATGTGACTGCATTCAGATATCCGTCGCGCCTACCTTCAACTGTTCTCCTAAAATCTTGCGATTTCGATTTATTGTCCAATCAACTCGATAAATGAACACAATGAAAATTGCCTAGATGTTATCAATCAACTCGATAAATGAACACAATGAAAATTGCCTAGATGTTATCTATTTGGAGTCCTTTGATACCAAAATCACAAAGGCTATTAGGAATGAATTAATGATGGATGCTTTTAAGTTTTGATACTTCTGTCGGAGGCTATGTAGCAGGCACAGTATCCTTTAATATAGTATTATTATCTTCATGTTCTATTGTTGATGGAATCATGAGACACTTTCAGCCTGTTCTGTTTGCTGGTTCATATCGTTGCTGGTTCATGAAGAAGTACTGCTGGCTGGTTTGTGTGAGAGAAAAATACTGTTCCGGTTGGAAATTTACGATCGTTTACGACAAGCCACAGCCAAACAAACAGTCTTTTGACTTGTGTAAGGCCTTTGTTTTACTTATGGCCTTTGCAGAACATGTGCTGAGATAATAACACTCCCTGGAGTTACCTGTTTGGTCGTACTTGCATGTATGCTTATTTTTTACTGTAACTTGTGTACTAGGATTGCTGCGAAGTAGCCATGAGGCTTTTGTGTTTTGTCCTTGTGAATTTCATCTACACTACACTGCCCATGTAAGATAGTGCAAGATTTATAGCATGATTTATTAGCACTGTTTTTTTATTTGCCAGTTTGGAGAAAATGGGAGCTCTTGACTGGAATAAAATTGTTCATCAAAACCAAGGGTGGCGCCTTATTAGCAGCATCTGGCTCCATGCTGGCCTAATCCATTTGGTTGTGAACATGCTAAGTTTGCTGTTTATTGGAATCCGCCTTGAGCAGCAATTTGGATTTGGTAAGCTTTTTTTTTTTAAAAAAAAAATCATTGTACACCAACATCGATCCAACCATTCATTGAAGTTAAATGTTCCAATCATCCGCCCTACATGGTCATTTCACTGACACTGTTTTTCCTGCCTGCAAGTTCGCATTGGTGCCATATACCTACTGTCTGGTTTTGGTGGCAGCGTGTTGTCTGCACTCTTCCTACGGAACAACTACATCTCCGTTGGTGCTTCTGGAGCTTTATTTGGCCTGCTTGGATCCATGCTTTCTGAACTACTCATGAACTGGACTATATACTCCAACAAGGCCAGTACAAGCAATAGATAAATATATACTTCATTTATATCCAGCTGCTTGATAATCGTTTAGCTCATATACTTAATTTGCTCTTGCAGGCAGCAGCTATAATAACACTCCTGTTTATTATTGCACTCAACTTAGCTATTGGGATACTACCTCACGTTGACAACTTTGCTCACATTGGTGGATTCGCGACGGGTTTCCTCTTGGGTTTTGTTCTGTTGGCAAGGCCTCAATTTAGCTGGATGGAGCGCCATGAGTTGCCACAGACCAACCAACCTCCCAAGTACAAAGCATACCAGTATATTTTGTGGGTTGTGGCACTCGTCTTGCTGTTAGTTGGGTAAGTAAATCCATCAGACTGGTTCGGATATTTGTTGTAGACATGTCTTTACGTGTTTAAACATGTTTTGCAGAAAATGTTGCTGCAAAGATTCGTAGTGCTAAATTTTGGACGAGCTACTAAGATGTTACTTGTTTTTGTGAAAGCTTGGAATGATACTGATGTCAAAATTTTTGTGCCTCAGGTTTGTGATTTCACTGGTGATGCTTTTCAAAGGGAAGAATGGGAACGATGGCTGCCACTGGTGCCACTACCTGAACTGCGTGCCAACATCTAAGTGGAAGTGCAACACCTAGACACCTCAGTTTTCTGTTACACTCTCCGGCGAAATATGTAGTATTCAGATTCAGAAGACCATTTTTTATGTTTGTTTGTCTGTAGATATGAACAAGTTCTTTGTTCTTTACTGGGTTGGAGTTTCCTGGTCTCTGTAAACTGCTCTGTTGAGGGTTGTATGTTTATAACTCGAGCTTGATACCTGTTCAAAATTGTTGATTGACTAGTAAATTGCAGTGCGGTGTTCTAGCAAATAAAAAAGAGAAACATTTTTAAACGAACAGAGTAGCCGTCCTAGCTCAGTGGTAGAGCGCGTGGCTTTTAACCACGTGGTCGTGGGTTCGATCCCCACGGACGGCGCTTTGTGATCGTCAATTTTTTTACAGCTTTCCTCAGTTTTATTTATCAGGTCTTCAGCCTTCATTATCCATCTGATCAAATGAGTTCTGCTAAAGAAATTTGGTTGAAACCAATCGTTTGACGAAATTTGAAAGATAGGATCTCTTTCTAAGTTCAGATTTTCACCGCAGGAACCGATCTCTGCCCTGTTCACTTCCGGGCTTTCTTTACCAAAACTTGCCACACCAGAGGTTAGTTATTTCCTAGTTTTTTCGATAACGGTTCGATTCACTGCCATAACAATGGCGCGCCACACTTTCTTAGTATCTTGTTTCACATGTCATAGACTTATTTTTTTGCCAAACTTACCATAAGTGTGACTTCGATTTTGCTCGCCATACTTTGTGGCAGCCACAATTTGCCGAAGTTGAGGCGTGGCAAACTACGGCACCAACCAAACAGGTACATTGTCTTTGTCTGCTCCTCCGCTCAACCGAGTGTGGCGCTTATATAGAGTGTAGACGACGAACTAAATATATGGTATTAAAGCCAAAGGTCTCGACTTTGAATCCTTCTAACGTAATTAAATCAAACAATTTTTTGCTTGCTCCTATCCTACATCTAAAACCTGAGGAAGTCTCCATGTGAGGGGAAGCGTTGAAGTACAAGTAAATTGTCCACCTCCCCCACCATACGAGGGAAAGTGCTAAAATATAAATGAATTTCCCACCTCTTCTCGTCCTATTAGCTTAAGCTTTTGGGAAAAAAGTTTACTTAGCCCTAAACTTTTAGTGCTTGTCTACTTTACCCCCCTATAAATCAGATATTCTACCTCTTAAATTATTGAAAACCCATCTAATAAACCATTGAGACGATTTTGAAGGTGGTTTCACTGACGTGGCATAGTGTGTGGGTGCTCAAATGACATTAAATCAGCAAACAATAGTAAAAAAGTCTATATGACCCCTAACATATGAAGGGTTGACTAAAGCCCCCTGAACTATAAAACCTAAAACTACACCACCATGACCAGCGACACTGTAGGCTATGGCAAGCGTCCATCCAAATGTCCACGCTGGCAAAAAAAAAAGTCACCTGCCTACCACTAGAGTTGGGATTTGATTGTGCCATTTGAGAGTGGTGTCGTGGCATGGTCTTTTGGCACGGTCCCAAATAGCACTACACGAAAATATTACGGCCGTGTCGTGCCTAGAATCTCGACATGATGGCTCGGGCCGGGACCGCACAAACATAAGCGTGTAAGTATATCTACAACACTACGATGTAATTTTCTAGTATTTACTATATTGCATTTCATCTCATTCTTGAATAATTTGTAAAAATTATTAAAACTTTCAGAAAAATAGTTCATATAAAATATATTTTATGTCATGAACGGACAAAGAAAACTAAAAAAAAATATTGAGGACCGTGTTTGGGCTGGTGTAGCACGAGGACGTGTTGATGTGCTGTTGGCCATGCTTGAGCCGAAAAAAAAAACTTTCCGACGTACCTTACATGACGAAACAGCACGAAGCATAGGAGGCCATACTGTGCCCACGGCAAGGCCCAAGTCCCACCTCTGCCTGCCACTTGTGCGTGCCACAAACCCGCGTCCCACAAAAGAGAAGTTCATTCCACAGTCCACAGAAACGGTTACCCGCCAGTGCGCTCGGTTCCAAGTTGCTTTTTCAACCAAGAGAGAGAGAGAGAGAGACTAGCAGTTGCAGAATCCGCAGCCCACTCCTGAGTCCTGAGTCCTGACCCCTCCGCTCCGCTCGACGCTTCTTCGCCGGCGGCAACCTCCATGGCTCCTCCTCGCTCCCCTCTCCCCGCCGTCCTCCCCGTCCTCCTCCTCGTGCTCCTCGCGGCCGGCGGCGCAGGCGGCGTGGAGGTCCTCGCCAAGTCCCTCCTGGAGAGCTGCGTTGACGACTCGGGCGCGGGGGGCCGCCTCTCCTGCGACAGAAAGGTTGTCGTCGACATGGCCGTGCCCAGCGAATCCGTAAGCGCCTCTACTCCCTCTTCCACACCCGGCATTCCCGCCGCGTCCGAATTGTATGTGTGTTCTGAGTGACGGCTGCGACGACGGCGCTGGCGTGCCGTGTCACCGTGTGCATGTGTTCTTGGGTGCAGAGCGGCGGGGAGGCGTCGCTGGTCGCGCAGGTCGCGCACGTGAACGACACGGAGCAGACGAAGACCATAAGAAACCCCCCTGTCATTACCGTCAACAAGGGCGCCGTGTTCGCGCTCTACGCCCTCAACTACATCAGGGTAAAACCCTTTGCTCGATCGTGCTCTCTTCTGATGACAACGTTGCTGTTTTGTATGTGGCCTTTGATCATATAATCCATTTACTCCCATGCATCCTTGTACCTTTACACAACGTGGAAGTTGCACAGTTCTGTGTGTCGATAGGTTTTGGATTAGGGGAATGGGTCTTTTCATTTAGTTGTGGCGTCTGAGCAGAACATACTAATGGCAAGCTCTTAGCGATTTTCTCAATCTATGGCTGTTCCAGCAATCTTTTGACGTGTTGGTTCGAGAAATGTGTGATGGTTTTGTAGTAGGCTCACGTTCAGAAAGATTTGACGTGTTACCGGGTTCGGAGTGCGATTAGAGAATCTCTGGAAGGTTCTGATTCCCATTCGATGTGCTTTGCTATCACTTGAAGGGGCCTGGTTTCAGGAAACCTACATGTTAATTGTGCCTTTGGTTGTGAACTTGTGATAACAATCCATTTGTGTGAAAGCTTCATGTGTGTTTGCTGACTTGCTCGGCCGTTTTGGTTCAGATGGCTGCAGTCTTTTTTTTTACTATTTCTCGGACCAGTGTATTCAACTATTACTCGATCCTTTCTTCTTTGTTTGTCTCTTCAGGATGTTGCTTACAAACCTGAGGAACAGTTTGTCGAGACACGCAAATGTGAACCAGATGCTGGTGCTGATGTTGTTGGAGCTTGTGAAAGGTATGGTATTTCGCGATTCCCATTTATTCTTGTTTTTTCAAATACTACCTCGATATATCTAGAAAAGTCAAAACAACCTATAATTTGGAATGGAGAGTAGTAGATATCGGCAACCCCATTTCCTTTTATTTTTAGCAAAGTTTCTTAGAAAGTTTGGAAGTCTGTAATGCCCATCTTGTTTAAAAAATTGCAAGCCTTCCGGTAGATCCTTGTACTCATGGGTCATATCTGTGAGCTTTTCTGGTAGGCTCTTTAAATTTACTTAGCATTCCCAATTCTGTTTATACGCCAATGCTGTTTTTTTTCTATGATTATGGCCAGGTTATGGTATGAGAACGGTTCTATAATTCAGCACTCAGAGGTGAGAACAATTTTACCCATATGCTTTGTATCTCCTCAGTATATAGTATGATAGTATTTAACCTCCTATTCTGCATTGATTGATTTTCCTTTAATAAGAAATCGGCTCCTAGTTTAACATCCACTCTATGCCATGTGCTGATGTGCCTAGTGTCACCTCTAAAATATTGGCCCTTGATACTCGGTCAAATTCAAAAAAAAAAAATCAGTATCAGATCTTAAATATTTAAGAGTTGTTCTATAGCTACATATTGATTGAAGAGGTAGTGCTTAGTTAAAATGTAATACATCTTTTCATGAAAAAGGTAAGTCTTTCTCGACTAGAAACTATAAACGTTGAAAATTGTTGATTTGGCAGTAGGCATTATTTAAGTGACCCAGCAGCAAAGTGCGGGAGACATGCTAGCATTAACCAAAACAAGGCACATAGATGGACATTCCTTTGTTTTTGTTTTTACTTATATATCTTGTATAATTTATAATCTCCTTGTGTTTCTCATGTTTTCGTTTACTTTGGCTTGCACTAGCCTATTTTCCGTCCCTGTGGTCCTAACCGCCGTGTACCTTCATCTTGTGGAAACGTTTGTAAGTTCAGAAATAATGTTTGTCTTCTTGTTGTTTTGGTACATGACCTAACACCTCTTTCACACAATCTAATTTATAGTTGAGAAAATTTGCAAAGGAAAAGCTAATACGGCTCACTGTCTACGATTTCCAGGTGACTGGTACGTATTGTTGGTGATGTACCTCTGTTGTTTATATTGGATTAATAATTCCTTGACTCAATGTACTGAGTTAACTGAAATAAAGGTTCATGTCTTTGCTATGACTTAATGACCTGACGGTAAAATTTCTCAACATGACTAGTGGCTCAATTATTAGATACACAATATATAGTCTGTTATGTTAATCAAGCATGAACTTATTTATTTTTAAATTAGGGGAATACTTTCTTATTTCAAACTTATACTATTCTACAAATTTGGCGTATCCTCATTAATTGTCCAGGGCCAGTTTGAATAAATGTAATGTAAAATAAGCTTATATAAAAAAATGGGCATACCCAGTGCAGAGGCTCTTTGCGGGGTCTGGGAAAAGGTGTCAGTGGCAAGCCTTACCCTCACCTGTGCAATGAGAGGAGACCGCGACTCGAATCTAGGAACTTCCGGTCACAGGCGGTAAGACTCTACCGCTTGCACCAGGCCCGCCCACTACCAGAGACAGCCTCTTTGTCGAGTGCCCCCCACTTTGCCGAGTGCTTTTTATCGGACATTCAGCAAAGAGGTTGTTTACCGAGTGTCAGAGATAAAGCACTCGGCAAACAACTGACACTCGGCAAAGAGGTGGTTTGCCGAGTTCCGAGCACTCGGCAAACAATAACACTCGGCAAAACTGCCTTTGTCGAGTGTTATTCTCCTGACACTCGGCAAAGGGCCGCCGCCGTTAACGGCCGACAGCCGCCGTTAACCCTTTGCCGAGTGTCTTCTTATGACACTCGGCAAAGTGGTGATTTGCCGAGTGTCATTTTTTTGACACTCGGCAAAGCGGTTATTTGCCGAGTGTCATTTTATGACACTCAGCAAACCATATTTTTTTTTTATTTTTGACCTCCAAACTTTTTCTGCAGTCCTCATACAATACCTGGTGCTCCATGTTCCAATGTGGCACATTTCTCGGACTTTTTCTATATTTCTTTAATTTATTTCATTTAATTAAATTTTCTTGGATAATTCAAATTATAACTGCTAGTCATTCGAATAATGAAAAAAATAAATGGAAAAATGATATTCATGTTTTTTAGTATAATGTGAGGCCGTATCCAGAAGCAGACCACCAATTTTGAACATCTTGTTCACGAAACATGACCACGAACTCGCGGTCGAGTTGTTTTTAAATTCAATAAAAAGCAAACGAAGTCCGAAAATCATGAAACTTGTCAAGATGTCATGATATCATATGTGGAGGCTATGATAAAAATTTGAGAAGGTTTCACGCAAGTTGTCACGTACGATGCTTACCACCTTGTCGGCCTCTTCACGAAATCATGAAACTTATTCGGAGATTCTTCGGTTTGCAAGAATCGTACGTGACAACTTCCGCGAAACCTTCTCAAATTTTTATCACAGCCTCCACATATGATATCATGACATCTTGACAAGTTTCATGATTTTCAGACTTTGTTTGCTTTTTATAGAATTTAAAAACAACTCGACCGTGAGTTCGTGGTCATGTTTCGTGAACAAGATGTTCGAAATTGGTGGTCTGGTCCTGAATACGGCCTCACATTATACTAAATAACATGAATATCATTTTCCATTCATTTTTTTCATTATTCGAATGACTAGCAGTTATAATTTGAATTATCCAAAAAAATTCAATTAAATAAAATAAATTAAAGAAATATAGAAAAAGTTCAAGAAATGTGCCACATTGGAACATGGAGTACCAGGTATTGAATGAGAACTGTAGAAAAAGTTTGGAGGTCAAAAGTGAAAAAATATATGGTTTGCCGAGTGTCATAAAATGACACTCGGCAAATCACCGCTTAACCGAGTGCCAGGACGTATGGCACTTGGCAAAGAATTTTTTAAAAATATAAAAACCCTCTTTGCCGAACACCAGTCCGGGGGCACTCGGCAAAGATTTTTTTTTAAAAAAAACTCTTTGCCGAGTGCTAGGCCAGGAGGCACTCGGCAAAGAATTAAAAAAATTGCCGAGTGCCAGATCGGGGGCACTCGGTAAAGGGGGGATTTAACCTCCTGGCCCAGCCGGCCCACACACACCGCACACACGCACACACACACGCCCATGCCCGCGGCAACGCCGCCGCCGCCGCCCCCGCCCGTGCCAGCGCCGCCGGAGGAGGAGGAGAAAGATAGGAGGAGGAGGAGAGGAGGAAGAAGGAGGAAGGAGGAGGAGGAGGAAGAGGAGGAAGGAGGAAGGAGGAAGGAGGAAGGAGGAAGGAGGAGGAGGAGGCACCCCGGTCGACGTTGCCACGTCCCCGGCGCTTCCCCAGCCGTCACCTTGTCCACCGACCCCCTGGCCCCTTCACCACCGCCGCCCTACGACGCCCACTAGGTATGCCCTACCGTCGTCGTCGTCGTCGTAGTATTACTAGTAGTTGTGGTAGTAGTAGTGGTAGAGTAGCAGTGGTGGTAGTCGTAGGAGTCGTAGGAGTGGTTGTGACATTGTTATATATATGTGGTTGGATATAATCTTGTGCATGTTGACCATCATGTCGTTCATATATATGTGCATGTCGGACATCGTGCCGTTCATATATATGTGCATGTCGGCCATCGTGCCGTTGATTTTCTTACAGGTTTTAAAAACCTCACCGTGTAGGGGAGGTGCTGCCAAAATTTTGTATTGATAGTTTTATGTTTCTTTTTTGCAGAGAAGAGCCCGTCGGAGCGGAGCCAGAGTACCTCGACGACCCCGATCGCCTTCCTCGCCGCTGCGGGTCTGCCTGCACCGCATCGCCTCGCCACTACACCGACCCGCCATGGCCCCGCTAGCCTGACTCCACTGCCACCCTAAGTATAACACCTCTTTCTGTATCATGGTCGTAGATCACGTAACCTAGTTAGGCGTCTTCCATTCGAAAGAGATACGGTTGGAAATATGCAGATATTTCCATATCTAAAACCGTATCTGTTTCGAATTTGTCCACGTTTTTTGGAGAGCCCGCGGATGCGTAGGTGGGGTTAGTTTCCATGGTCTGCTCTGATCCGAGACAGAGTTTCAGCATAATCTCCCTATTGTTCTCTGGATACACACTCTCCCTGGCAGGACATGTATTTGGAGACAGAGTTTCAACATATGACGGAGAGTTCTTTCAAGAAGAGGGACTAGAAGGGAGGTTTGAGATAGACTTAATCAAAGCGATCAGAATGGAAGTAGACAATGAAACGGTTATTGAAGAGGACGCTGGAGATGAGGTGCAAAATGTGAAGGACTTACAAATGCTTGAGCGATTACATTTAGACAATGACAATGGCAACATTGCTCATTCGGATAGTGTCGATTATTTCGACATGATTGATAGTGATGATGAGACTTATGATCTAGCTAATCCCGATCATGAAGATTATTTCTAATACATGTAATACTATGTTATTTTGTAATTAAGTTTTGTTTATTTTGCATCTCTTTCTAAGTACTTCTTGTTTATCTGTGCATATTGGTTTACTCTTTTTAATTGCAGGTGATTGAACAAAGATGGTGGGCGGTGGGATGAGGAAGCTAGATGATGATACTTGTGGTTGTTAATGGTGTTTCTATTTGCAATTGTGCTTGTAGATGATGGAGCACTTGGATTACTTGTGACCTTATTTGTGATATATTGTGAGACATGTGACGTTTGTGATATACATGTGGTGTTGGATATCTGTGTTGTTGATGATATATATGCGATGTTGGTGATATTTGTTATATATATCTTTTGTTTGTTTGGATGAAATGTAAAAAACAAATAAAAAATACTATATTCAGTCACTTTGCCGAGTGCAATGGCCATAACACTCGGTAAAGTGACGACCTGGGAACATGCCTGGGAACATGCTTTGCCGAGTGCACAGGCCATTGCACTCGGCAAACATCACAGGTGGCCAAGCACTCGGCAAAGGTGCCCTGTTTGCCAAGTGTCTTGTCGGTGGCACTCGGCACAGTGTCCGCGTTTGTCGAGTGTTTGAGTCAACGACGCTCGACAAAGAGGCGACCTTTGCCGAGTGCTTGACCTTGACACTCGACAAAGCTGCCGTCATGGTGGCGCTCGTCGTCACGACGACTTTTCTTTGCCGAGTGTCAGATTAGCACTCGGCAAAGGCTTTGCCGAGTGCCCGATAAAGTGCACTCGGCAAAGAGGTCTTTGTCGATCAATTGTTTACCGAGCGCTCTTTGTCGAGTGTAACACGCGGCAAAGGATTTGCCGAGTGTATATCGGCCTTTGCCGAGTGCCTGAGGCACTCGGCAAAGAAGCCGCCTCCGGTAGTGGCCCTTCTAAAATAAGCTTATATACTCTTCTAAAACTTTGGGGTATCCTCGATTAATTGTTCAGGTCCAGTTTGAATAAATGTAATGTAAAATAAGCATGGACAATGATACGGGGAACACCACATACCCATTGTGGGGGTTCCTTTCATATATATTAATATATATAGCCATGTACATGAATAGTACATCATGGCAGAACCGCCTCAAATAACTTACTTCCGGAGGTGCTTGTCTTCCATTAGACACCAAACATCCCAAGAGTGAGCTAATTTAAATAGTTCTGTCGAGCACACCCCGAGGGAGAACCAAAAAATCTATATTTTTCCATCAGGATCATAAATGAGAGAATAAAGCTTACACATTCTTAAGTCATTTCTTATATCACTTTCTATGCAACATCAGAGCATAATATTTATGGTTTATAACAGCGGAATATAACCATGTAATCAGAGTTATAGCAGAAATAAAATCATTTAATGACAAGTTAAACATTAACATGATGATCTGTTATATACATCATAATAGGTTATAAGTTTTTCCATTGTAAAACATTTTGGGTGAAAGTTTCAAATAAACTCTATGTACGCAACGTAAGAAAATCCTCGCTGAGCCCACCAGGAGGTTTCCACACACAAGTGTCAGCTCCACATGTTCCTGCCACCTGCAACAGGGTAGAACAAACCCTGAGTACTCAATTTTACTCCTCAAGACTTATCCATCAGGAGGAAAG